TGAAAACTATCAAAGAGTAACAAAAACCCAGAAATCTATGATTTATAAAAATTTTGACTAGAAAATCATATTTCCAGCCCATTTTCAAATAACAATCTGACATAGGATTTATATCCAAATGATCTAAATTTTATGATGATCTAAATTTAAAAATCATATTTCTGGACCATTTTGAAGATTTTATTTATTTATTTGAGAGAGAGAGAGAGAAACAGCATGAGAGGGGATAGGGTCAGAGGGAGAAGCAGGCTCCTTGCTGAGCTGGGAGCCCGATGTGGGACTCGATCCCAGGACTCCGGGATCATGACCTGAGCCGAAGGCAGTCGCTTAACCAACTGAGCCACCCAGGGGCCCTCTGGACCATTTTGAAGAAAAATCGCCTTAAGATGTATGTCCAAAACACTCTACAATTTGAATATGGATTTAAAAACTTACATTTCTGTGCCACTTTTGGAAAAAATTATGGTGAAGAATTCATGTCCAAAACCTCCCAAGATTTAACAGATTTGGATAAAATATTTTGTTTTTGCACTATTTTGGTGGAAAAATATGGCATATGGTTATGTCCAAAAATACATTTTGGGAAAATCTGGATGAAAAGCCATCTTTCTGAACCATTTTAGAAGAACCATGGGATTCACATCTGAAGAACCCACTTTTTGGAAGAAAAAGCTGGCATAGAACTTATGTCCAAGAAACTGCATTTTGGAGTGAATTTAGGTTTAAAAAATATGGTTGAGGGCCACTTTGTAAGAAAATATGCCACAGGACTTATGTCTAATAAACCTCATGATATTAGGAAGTTTTAATAAAAAATAATATTTTATGGCCATATGCAAAGAACAATCTGGCACAGGGCTTACCAAAAAAACCTCCTACCATTTGAGGACATTTGGATGAAATATCACATTTTTAGGCCACTCTGGAAGACAATCTGGTATAGAAATTATGTCCAAAAAAATGATAAAAAACTATTTGAGCCAATTTGAAAAATCACATTTCCAGGTCTTTTAGAATAAAAGTCTTGCATAATACTTATGTCCAAAAGATACTAAGATTTGAGTGAATTTGGATCAGAAATCACATGTTCTGGGGCGCCTGGGTGGCTCAGACGGTTGAGCGTCTGCCTTCGGCTCAGGTCATGATCCCAGGGTCCTGGGATCAAGTCCCGCATCGGGCTCTCTGCTCAGTGCAGAGCCTGCTTCTCCCTCTCCCTCTGCCATTCCCTCCGCTTGTGCTCTTCTGTTTATCTCTCTGTCAAATAAATAAATAAAATCTTTAAAAAAAAAAAGAAATCACATGTTCTGCATATTTTAGAAAAAAAAATCTGATGTAGGACCTAGTTCCAATAAGCCCCCAAATTCGAACAGATTTAGATGAAAATATCACATTTCCAGGGCATTTGGGACAAATATCTGGCATATGACTTATTTCCCAAAGCTCCACTATTTATATGAAGTTGGATTTTAAAAATCATGTTTCTTGTCCATTTGGGAGGAAAATTTGATGAAGGATTTGTACCCCCTAAAACCAATGATTTGAATGAGTTTGGATGAGAAAGTGTATTTCTAGATAGTTTTATAAAATAACATAGCATAGAATTTATAACCACACCACCCTAACAATTTGAGCATATTTAGATGGAAAGTCACACTTTTTTGTCATCTTAGAAAAGTCTGGCAGGGAGCCTGGGTGGCTCAGTCAGCTGGGTGCCTTCAGCTCAGGTCATGATCCCAGGGTCCTACATCACATCTGGCTTCCTGCTCAGCAGGGAGCCTGCTTCTCCCTCTCCCTCTGCTACTCCCTGCCCTGCTCTTACTCTCTCTCTCAAATAAATAAATAAATCTTAGAAAAAAAAACTTTGGCATAAGAATTATTTCTAAAAACCCATAAAACTTAATGAATTTGAATTAAAAATTGTATTTCCAAGACCATGGTGTAGTATTACAGACACAAAATCCCACTTATTGCGCTAATTTGGATGAAAAATGTCTTTCTAGGCCATTTTAGAAGAAAAGGCAAGTGTGTAAGTTTAGGTGCAAAACTTAAACTATTCGCATGAATTCATATGAAAAGCTGCATTTCTTGGACTATTTTGGAAGAAAATTCTGCTGTAGGGCTTCTGTTGCTGAAACTCCACTGATTATTGCTGTAGCTTTAGTAAGTTTTGAAACTGGAAGTGTAGTCCTTCAACTTATTTCTTATTTTCTAAAAACATGTTCTATTGTTTTTTAATGTAAAACATAGCACACTGGCTGTAGCATTCTCAGACTGTTTCCCCCAACCCTCCTCCCATTGGTTAATCTTGGAGATCTTCCCATGTCAGTACATAGAGATGCTTCTCATTCTTTGACAATATACAGCATCTTGTTCTATTTAAGCATGGTTGACTTTAATTAGTTCCTCTATTGGTAAATGTTTTCTTCCTTACTAAAATTTGAAGTTACTACTGCACTGAAGAACTCATGTAAATCATTTTGCACATGAACGTGTACAGCTATTGGATAAATTCCATTGAGGTTATGGGCTCATAAGGGGAATATGAATTTTTAATTTTGGTAGATATCATCATGTTGTCCACCACAAAACTTGTACCAATTTATACTTCCAAGATTAACACGTAAGTGTACCTGTTTCCATAGTCTACAAGAGTATGTTTTCAACTTTTGTAATTTTTGCCAGTCTGACAGGTTAAATATCGCTGTGTGGTTTTCATTTGTATCTTCATTAAGTACATTTTCAAATGAAAAAGGACTTCCTACACTGTGATCTGAGTCTGATCAGTCAGTTTATTTTTTGTTGCATTGTTGATTTTAGAAACTGCGTTTCTAGAGATATTTTGTAGATCTCTTTATAATATGGACTTCAGTATTTCCCTCCAGTTTGTCTTTTGTTTTGGGTTGTCTTGTAGAATTTATTTCGTGTAGCCAAACTTGACCTATTTTCATTATGGCTTCAAGATTTTGTGTCATTTTAGAAAAGTCAGTCCTATGCTTCAAAGGTGTTATGATTATCTATTGCTATATAACAGGCAACACTACAATTTAGGGCCTAAGACAATTTATTATCATCATCCCTCACAGTTCTGTAGGTTGACTGAGCACAGCTGAATGGTTCTCCCCTGAAGTGTGAGGGATTGGCAGAATGGGATTTCCAAGATGGCTCTATCATGCAACTGCACTTGATGTTAGCTGTTGGCTAGTTCAGCTAGGGCTATTGACCATAATACCTTCATGAGGCCTCTCAATGAGGCTTTGAGGTTTTTCACAGCATGGAAGTGGGATTCAGAGTAGAAACTGTAAGGCTCTTCATGAACTAGCATCAGAAGTCCCATAATATCACTTCTCCTATATTCTCTTGATCAAGCAAATCACTAAGGCCAATCCAGATCCATGGGAGGATAAACAGACTCTCTCTCTCACACACACACACACACGTGCGTGCACACACACACACACACGAAGGAATTGATGTCCATCTTGGAGATTATCTCCACAGTCTACCATCTGAACACCAAACTTCATGTCCATCCCATGTGAAATATACACTCACCCCTAAGACCCTCAAAGTCTTATCCCATTATGGCATTGACTCAAGTTCAGAAACTTGTTATCTAAACCATATCCAAGCATAGATGATTCTTTATCTGAAGACTTGAGAGCTAGACATGTATCTGACATTCAATGTTGATTTAGGGATAAAATATAACCACAATAAATGCTTCTATTAAAAAATGGTGAAATAAAAGATATACAGCAGGTACCAGTTCATAGACATTTTGAAATTCAGTGGGGCACAGGCCATCAGTTTCTTAATTAGTGTCCAGTACTGCTCCCTGGCAGTGATTCTCCATTATTTTTAGGTCTACGCTGAGTTATTCTTCCGAAATAGCCTGTATTTGCAGCTTAGATTTCTCAGCCTGCCTCCCCGTCCATAGAAAAGTAGGGATTTTAGGGCACCTGGGTGGCTCAGTTGGTTAAGCGTCTGCCTTCGGCTCAGGACATGATTCCAGGGTCCTGGGATTGAGCCCCGTGTTGGGCTCCTGGCTTAGCGGGGAGTCTGTTTCTCCCTGTCCCTCTGCCCTGCCCCCTGCTCATGCTCTCTCTCTCAAATAAATAAAAATCTTAAAAAAAAAAAAAAGAGAGAGAGAAGTAGGGATTTTTCTGTCCTTTTCAGACTAGGCTGGTGTTTCTATTACAAACTCATGTTTCCCATGCCTCTTACAGAATTTCATTCCATTAGATAAAACCACGTCTACAGAGCTCTTCAGGGGAAGGCTCTCTCTGGTTTGGGTTGCCAGGGTGTGGTAGGATGACATCTTTACAATTCATAGAAACCTAGCTGAGAGTCTAGGAGCTATACACTTCAATCTTAAGTCTTAAAAAAGGGTTTACAGCTGCATCCTTGAGATGGGTCTTTACCCTAAAGGTCATTTGTTTTGAGCAAAGCCACTTTGGACCAGAACACGGTGAAAGTATGGTTAGGAGTCTTTAAATATGGCTGAATATCTTTAACCTTGAGATTGGAGAATCGCTGAGGGTGTGCAGCTAAGGGACCTTGGACCAGTTCCTGGATGGCTGGCACTGGGGCCTGGGCCTGCGCCTGAGAGCTGAGGAGCATGACTTAAGTTCTAAACCCTGGTATTCCAGGACTGATTTGGGAGAATGGCTTCAAGAGTCTTCTCCCTGTTAATGGAGGACTGAGGAGAGCATGTGGTTAAAGGTCATTATATTATTGGAGTGCCAGTGTGGTGGTGTGGCTGGGGCGTGGTTGGAGATCCTCCATGTTCTTGGTGGTCTGATAGGAATGTGACTGGAGACCCCAGGCTCTGAGAGGAAGGAACCGGCTGGTCACAGCTGAAAAACTCCAGGCCTGAGGGACTGGAGTGTTGGGGACAATGTACTGTTGGAGGGGCTCCATGGTGGGAGGACCAGGGACTAAATAAAGCCTGAGAAAAAGCATTTTAGGTGGGTTAGGGAAGGATTCAGCAAAGTAGAGACATTTGAGAGCTAGGAGGAGAGAAGCGAGAAAGGGGGCTGTCACAGAAGTCAAGGGAAAAGGGTAGTTGCAGATCAAAGTGGACCTGCTAGAGGAAGCCATGTTTTCTGGAAGACACCTGGAAGATTCCCTCCCCTCACCTGAAATCCCTGAATACAGTTCCTCGATCTCCCCCCTCTACCAAGGACCAGACTTTCTAGTAAATATTCTAGTGACTCAGTTCCTGTCTTCCAAGGAATTGAATTCTTGTGGAAGAGTGGACTTAGGAGTTCAGGCTATCTGTACCACTCCTTGTCCCCTATCTTTACAGATGAGTGAATGAGGTATATAGTCAAGGTTACCGATTTGTAAAGAAGCAATGTTTATTAGAACAAAAGGCCACAAAACATGAAGACTTAGTGTGGAGAAAGTGAACTAAGTCAAATGTCCTCTGACCACTCCCGGAATGCACTTCTCTACCCCATTTCATGAAAGTGTAACAGTTTTGATGACTTAGTCCGTACCACTACCTTCGCTCTCAAAGACCGTGTAAGAGGTCAGGAGATTGTCCTGCACAGGCCTCAGAGTCAGGCTGGAGTGGAGGTTTGTAGTGGACAGATTTCATCCTCCTGTGTCTGCTGAGGTGGGACTTCTGGCTGAAGCCTTGGCCGCACATCTTGCACACGTAAGGCTTCTCCCCCTGGTGTGTCATCTGATGTAAGAGGAGGTGTGACTTCTGGATAAAGCCTTGGCCACACTCTCTGCACACACACGGCTTCTCTTCTGAATGTACCCGTTTGTGTGTGATTAAAGCTGACTTGTTGCTAAAGCCTAGTCCACACTGTCTGCACATGTAAGGCTTCTCCCTCGAGTGCTTCCTCTTGTGCCTGATGAGACCTGCCTGGTGACTGAAGCCTCGCCCACACTCCCTGCACACGTACGGCTTTTCCCCTGAGTGTGTCCTCTGGTGGGCAACAAGGTTCGACTTCTGGCTGAAGCCTCGCCCGCACTCCTCACACACCATGGGCTTTTCCCCTGAGTGTGTCCTCTGGTGTCTGATGAGATTTGACTGCTGGCTGAAGCCTCGCCCACAATCCTTGCACACGATGGGCTTATCCCCTGAGTGTATGTTCTGGTGTCTGTTGAGGTGTGACTTCAGGCTAAAGCCACGCCCACACACCCCGCACACGTAAGGCTTCTCCCCAGTGTGTGTGCGCCTGTGTGAGATGAGAGTTGAATTCTGGCTAAAGCTGTGCCCACACACTCCGCACACGTAAGGCTTCTCTTTGGAGTGTGTCCTCTGGTGGTTGACCAGGGTCGTCCTCTGCCTAAAGCAGCGCCCGCACTCCTTGCAGGCGTAGGGCTTCTCCCCGGAGTGTGTCCTCTGGTGTGAGATGAGGTTCGAGCGGTCACTGAAGCCCAGTCCGCAGTCACCGCACACGATGGTCTTCTCCTCTAAGTGTGTCCTCTGGTGCCTGACGACAGCAGACTTCTGGCTGAAGCCTTTCCCACACTCCCGGCACACGTAGGGCTTCTCCCCCGAGTGTGTTCTCCGGTGTATGATGAGGTTTGACTTCTGACTAAAGCCTCGCCCACACTCACTGCACATATACGGCTTCTCGCCTGAGTGTGTCCTCTCGTGTATGATAAGCGTTGACTTCCGGTTAAATCCGCGGCCGCACTCCCTGCACACAATCGGTTTCTCCCCCGAGTGGGCCTTCTGGTGCCTGGCAAGGCTCTTCTTCAGACTGAAGCCCTTCTCACACACCCCACACACGTACGGCTTCTCCCCGGAGTGAATCCTCTGGTGACTGAGTAGGTTTGTCATCTTGCTGAAGCCCAGTCCACACTCTCTACAGTTGACTGTTCCAAATCCTAAGACTTCTATCCTCTTCAATAGTCTGTCTGCTTCCTCAGGGTTCCCCGTCGGGGCGGGGCTGGACTCTATTTCCACGCCTCTGAGGCCACTCCGGGAGCTGACCGGCTGCCTTTGGGGTGGCCTAGAGAATGCCCCCGAGGTCCTCTTCTTTGTCTTGCCAAACAAAGGCTTGGCGCCTTCTCTCTCTCGACCTTCTGCTTTATCCCTCCAGGGCTCTCGATCAGAGGCCTGTTGCTGCTGCTTCTGGTCCCCTGGGCACGGATCCCCCGGTTCGACAGGAGCCTCTGCACACAGGCATGTGAAGACCCAGGGGGGATGATTACACAGCATGTGCTGCACGTGGTCTTTCTGACTGGAAAAATCCGAAGGGCAGAAAGGACAGAGGTGGAGTTCTGGCTTTGGTTCCGCTGCAGAGGGAAAAGTCGGAGTCAGAACTGAGATGCTGTGGGGCAGCCTGAGCAATTCTGCCCAGTCTGCTGGGAGACCCGCTTCCCTGCTCTTCAAAATGCTTAAAACTTGAGAGCTACCCAGTCAAGACTTCCTTTAAATGACGTGCTCTTCCAGCCTCTTCCATTACAACCCAGAAAGCCCCCTCCCAAGCCTCTCCCATGTAGCCAGCTATAAAAATCATCCCAGGCAGTTTCAGCTCTTTTATATAGGGCCACTAAGCAACAGTCCTCCCCGGCTCCCGCAACTGTCTCCTCGCCACCACGCACATGACCGAAACCGTGTCCACAAGTATCTTCTCTGACTGAGAGAGATCTGACCAGAGGAAATGTATGGAAATGTATGGAAATGTCAGGTCTTTCCCTATTTCCCCCTGAGAACAAAGGGACAGATGGAGAGAACACTCATTCAGAATGGAGAACCCCTAGTTGTAGGAAGCAGCATAAAAATGGTTAAAGAGATCGTGTGTGAGATGCCTGGAGTTCCTCTACTCACTAATAAATATTTATTAGAGGGTGACTTTGGGCCAGAATTTCTACAAGGCCATAGGGTTTCAGCAATGGATGACACAAACACAGTATAGTCCCCTACTCCCTTAAAGATGTTCCCTCCTGGGGTTCCTGACCAGTTTAAGCCCTGTTAATTTCCATAATTAATCTAAATAAAAATCTTCCCAGAAATCAGCATAGAAGCAAAAATTTCTCCGTATAGTACCTTGTGTGTAGAAGATGCTAACATTGAGTGTATTGTTTTATCACAGCTGCTTCTAGCCTTCTGAAGGCAAAAAACGACCAAATAATTTGAGAAACCAGGTTGTGATGGTACTGGACCAACCTGAACACCAATTTTCTTGATCAATGAACTGAACTTTTATTTTTTTATTTTTTTAAAGATTTTATTTATTTATCTGTCAGAGAGAAAGAGAGCACAAGCAGGGAGAGGAGCAGAGGGAGAGGGAGAAGCAGACTCCCTGCTGAGCAGGGAGCCTGACGCGGGACTCGATCCCAGGACCCCGAGATCATGACTGGAGCCGAAGGCAAACGCTTAACCAACTGAGCCATCCAGGCGTTCCAATGAACTGCACTTTTAAAAATCAACTGTATACACATCTATATTTCAGTATTCGATACAGAATGTTACTGTATTTGGAGATGGAGCCTTTAAAGAGGTAATTAAGTTAAACCTTAATTAAGTGGTAATTAAGGTTAAAGGGGTCACAAGGGTAGAGCCCTTATCCAATGTGAGTAGCGTCCTTACAAGAGGAGGCAGAAACAGCAAGGATGTGCACGCGCAGAGAAGCCATGTGAGGACATAAAGAGAAGATGGCCATCTGCAAGCTTGCCTTCTTTCTGTAGCTTGCTGGGTTTTTTCTTACATTCTTGCTCAATCTTTTTAAAAAAAAAGTAACAGAAAGAAGTCCATGAGGGGTGCCTGGGTGGCTCAGTGGGTTAAGCATCTCCCTTTGTCTCAGGTCATGATCCCAGGGTCCTGGGATCGAGCCCCGCATCGGGCTCCCTGCTCAGCAGGGAGTCTGCTTCTCCCTCTGCCTGCTGCTCCCCCTGCTTGTGTTCCCTCCCTCTCTCTCTCGCTTGTTATCTCTCTCTCTCAAATAAATGAAATCTTTAGAAAGAAAGGCAAAAAAAAAAAGAAGCCCATGCCTACAGAAGAGATCTGAGTGAGGGAAAGAGGGCAAACCCAGTGGGAGGAAGAAAGACTTCTAGTGGCAGAAGGAGATGAGAGACACTAGGAGAGCCCTGCCCTCAGGTGAGGATGAAGGTCTAGAAGGGAGGCCATGCCAGGCAACGCCAACCACAGCGCGGGAGGTCAGAACAGCTACTCTCTAGCACCGGCGCAATGCCTCCCGTCTCCCACGCCGAGCTGCCCGCAGCTCTGTGCTCCGTTTGCCCAGCACTCCCCACTCACCTGGACGGGTGGCTGGTGGGCATGTTCTCTCCTCTCTCCAGGTTTCCTTCCCTTGCTCCAGCTGGGTGATAAGTTTTGGCTTAGAAAACGGAATTCCTGCTCCCAGGAAAAGAAAAAACAAGGTGGCTGTAGGTTAGGGGCACAAGGGCCAACTCAGAAAGCAAGATGGCTGCTTCAAGCACAGCCTAAAACACCCTGCAGCAAGGACGTGAGTCCCTAGAGATCCCAGGGCTTACCCAGGGAGACCAGGTTGCTGTAGTTCTCCAGCATCACCTCCCTGTACAGGGATCTCTGAGCGGGGCTCAGCAGCATCCACTCTTCCTGGCTGAAATCCACAGCCACATCTCTGAATGCCATGTGTGCCTGTAACAGAAAACACAGCTCTGCTCACTGAGGAGCCAGCCTTGCCCACGACTCAGGCTGAGGGGAAGGGAGGATGCTGCCCGGTGGGAGACGGGTGAGCTACCGAGATTCTGTCTTGGGGGCACCTTGTGCTCAGTCAGTTAAGCCTCTGACCCGATTTCAGCTCAGGTCATGATCTCAAAGTCATAAGATCAAGCCCCGTGTCGGGCTCCTCACTCAGCAAGGAGTCTGCTTGAGATTCTCTCTCCCTCTCCTTCTGCCTCTCCTTCTGCTCGTGCTCTCTCTCTCTGTGTCTCTCTCTCTGAAATAAATAAATAAATCTTAGGGGCACCCGCTCGTCAGTTAAGTGTCCGACTCCTGATTTCAGTCATGAGATCGAGCCCCATGTCAGACTCTACTGGGCATGGAGCCTGCTTGGGATTCTCTCTCTCCCCCTCTCTCTGTCCCTTCCCCAATTCGTGTGTGCCCGTGTGCACTCTCTCTCTCAAAATAAAATAAACAAATCTTTAAAAATAAATAAATAAATAAATCTAAAAAAAAAATATTCTGCCTTTGATTGTGACCCTGATGCCATGTGTTCCAAGACCTTTAAACCTCTGTTGCTATCCAGCCAACAACACCTATGAATCTACATTCAAGATCTTGGCTGGGCTGTGTGGAGAATATGTGCAAAAAAGAGTCCCTAACTTTTAGGAACTTTAAATCTAGGCAGATAGAAAAGCAAACAATAAATAAAAATTAAACAAAAGTAAAAATGTAACAGACTTTGAATTTTAAGAATTTAAAAAAGTAATATTACCAATCATGTTAGTATTGAAGCATCTGAATGACTAAAGTTCATACAATTCAATAATGGCACAGCCTAACTATAACTCAGTCCTTTCCCTAAATGCCATGGTCCCTTGGCCTCCTTGGGTCTGAGAGGCACAAGTGGGGCATAGTGAGGAGCATGGACTTGAACGTACTGCCTGGGTTTGGGGTCCACCTCTGTGGTCAACTAGTGAAATGTAGATAATAGTATATTAAATTTATGGCCCCACACTGTGGATGCTCAGGGTGGACCTTCTTGGCCACTCAACCTTCAAATTCATCTCTATATTCATTCTCACCCCCCTGCCTAGTTTTACTCATCTCCTTAACTCTATTTCAAAATGGTGGGCACAGTGAAATATGGACATCAGGAAAAGGGTCCTGAGGCAGCCCCAGGAACGTCTCTTAAAGGATGGGCAAGAGTGAGGAGAAGAGGGAAGTGTTAGGTATTCCAGATGAAGCATGTGGGGAGTGGAGAAGACGACACTGTGAGCAAAGGAAGAGAGGAAGCCACCATGTGGACAGGGAGGACAACCCGGGAGGAATAAAAGGTAGAATACAGAAGAGGTGGAATGTAGCAGCCTATAGATTTTTAATTTTTATTGTAAAATATACCTAACAAATATTATACTATTTTTACCATTTTAAGTGTACATTTCAGTAGGATTAAGTACATTCACATAGTTGTACAACCATCACAGCTACCATCTCCAGGACTTGTTCATCATCCCATGCTGAAACTGTAACCATTAAATAATAACCCCTCCTCCTCCCAAACCCTGGTAACTACCATTTTGGTTTCCATCTCTACATATGTGGTTATTCTACGTACTGCAAGTTAAGTGGACTTACACAATATCTGTCCTTTTGTGTCTGGCTAATTTCAAGGTTCATTCCTTTGGAAGCATGAACTCAGAATTTCCTCTCTTTTCAAGACTAAAAAATATTTGATTTTATGTATATACCACTCATCCATTGATGGACATCTGGTTTGTATTCACTGTTTAATGACTGTGAATAATACTACCTCACAAATTGGTGTATAGTGATCTGTTTGAGTCCCTGGCTTTCAATTATCTGGGGGTATATACTCAGAAGTAGAATTACAAGAGCAAATGGGAATGTCATATTAATTTTTTTCAGGAATCACTGTGTTCCATAGCAACTGCATCATTTCACAACTCCACTAGCAATGCAGAGGGGTTCTAATTTCTCCACATCCTCACCAATACTTGTTGCTTTCTGTTTTATTTTTGTTGTTGTTTTTATAACAGCCATCTGATGAGTATAAAATGGTATCTCACTGTGGACTTAGACTGCATTTCCCTAATGATTAGTGATGGTGATCATCTTTTCACATGCCTATTTGCCATTTATATAACTTATTTGTAAAATATCTATTCAAATTCTTTTCTTTGCCCATTCTTGAATTGGGGTGTTTGTATTTTTGGTGGGTTACAGTTTTTTATATATTCTGTTAATCACTTAGATCATTTATCAGATAAGTGATTTGCAAATATATTTGCAGAGGGGTTATAAATTCTGATGAAGACCAATTTATCTATTTCTTCTTTTGTTGCCTGGGCTTTTGGTGTAATATCCAAGAACTCATCACTAAACCCAATTTCATGAACCTTTCCTCTGTTTTTTTCCTAAGAGTTTTATAGTTTTAGTTCCTTCTGTTTAGGTTTTCAATCCATTTTGAGTTCATTTTTGTATATGGTATGAGGTTAAGGGTCCAACTACATTCTTTTGCATGTAGGCATACAGTTTCCTAGCACAATCTATTAAATAGACTGTCCTTTCCACATTGAATGGTCTTGGTACTCTTGTCCAAAATCATTTGACCATATACATGAGGGTTTATTTCTGGGCTCTGTGTTCTATTCCATTAGTCTGTAATTCCGTCTTTATCCCAGTACCAAACAGCTTGGATGACTGTAACTTTGTAGTAAATTTTGAAATCAAGAACTGTGAGCCCTTCATGTTTGTTCTTTTTCAAGATTGTTTTGGCTATTCAGAGTCCCTTGAGATTTCATATGAATTTTAAGGTCAAGTTTTTGATTTCTTTTTTTTTTTTAAGTTTTCTATTTCTGAAGAAAAGAAGAAAAAGCCATTGAGAGTTTTGTAGAGATTACACTGAATCGACTTCAGTACTGTTGTCATCTTAGCAATATTAAAATTTCCATCCATGAACATGGTGTCTTTCCATTTCTTTAATTATTTCAGGAAGGTTTTGTATTTTTCAATGTACAAGTCTTTTGCCTTCTTAAGTTTTTTTAAGTATTTTATTCTTTTTGATGCTATTGGAAGTAGAATTGTTTTCTTAATTTCTTTTTCAGATTGTTCATTGTTGGTGTGTAGAAATGCAGCTGACTTTTGTGTGTTAATTTTGTATCTTGCTATTTTGTTGAATTTGTATATTAGTTCTAACAGGTTTTTTGTGTGTGTCTGGAATCTTTTCTACATATACACAGTCATGTCATCTGCTAACCGATAATTTTACTTCTTCCTTTCTAATTTAGATACTTTTTTTTTTAACTTTTCTTTCCTATTTATTCTGGCTAGAACTTCTGATACTGTGTTCAACAGAGGTGGCAGAAGTGGGTATATGTGTCATATCTGATCTTTGATCTTACAGAAAAATCTTTTAGTCTTCAACCGTGGAGTATGTTAACTGTGAATTTTTCATATACTGTGTTTTTCATATATATGAGCTATTCCTAGCTTATTGAGTGTTTTTATCATAAAAGAGTGCTGGATTTTATCAATACTTCCTGCATCAGTTGAGATGACCATGGGGTTTTTGCTCTTCATCTGTTAATGAGGTATATTTATTGATGTTTACAGGTTGAACCATCCTAGCATTCTAGGACTAGACTTAGTGGGATTCTTTTAATATGCTGTATAATTCTATACAGTGTATAGAATTCTTTTACTAGTGTAGAAAAGTATATAATTCTAATATACTGAATTTGGTTTGCTAGTATTATGTTGAGAATTTTTGTACCAGTACTCAAAGAGATCTTGGCCTGTAATTTTCTTTACTCGTTTTGTATCAAGGTTTGTCTGATTTTGGTATCAAGGTGATGCTGGCCTCACAGAATTAGCTAGGCAATGTTCCTTCTTCATGTTGGGGGGGGGGAATGTTTGAGAACTGGTGTTTTTCTTTAAATGCATTATAAAATTCACCAGTGAAGGCATCAGTCCAGGGCTGTTCTTTGTTGGGAGCTTTTGATTACTGATTTAATCTCCTTACTAGTCTATCAAGACTTTCTAATTCTTTTTTTCTTTTTTTTTAAAGACTTTCTATTTCTTAATGATTCTGTCCTGGGGTTTTCTGTTTCTAAGAAGCTGCCCATTTCATCTAGGCCATCCAGTTTGCTGGGGTACAATAGTTTATAACAGTCTCATATAACCCCCCTTATTTCTGTAGAATCAGAAGTAATGCCCCACTTCATTTCTGATTTTAGTAATCTGAGCTTTCTTGTTTTCTCAGTCAAGCTAGCTAAAGGTTTTGTCAATTTTGATAAACTTTTCGAAGAAATAATTTTTGGTTTTATTGATTTTTCTCTATTATTTTTCTATTCTCTATTTAACCCTGTTCTAATCTTGACTCTTTTCTTCCTCTGCTACCTTGGGTTTAGTTTGTTCTTTTTCTAGACTCTTAAGTTGTAAAATTATGTTGTTTCCTGGAGATCTTTTTTTCTTTCTTTCTTTTTTTTTAAGAGAGGGAGGGAGAGGGGAAGAGAGAGAGAATATCTTAAGCAGGCTCCATGACCAGCACAGAGTCTGATGTGGGGCTTGATCTCACAACCCTGAGATCATGACCTGAGCCGAAATCAAGAGTTGGACACTTAACCAACTGAACCACCCAGGCGCCCCTTCATATCCTTTTGTGTACATTCTGTATCTATTTTCATTAGAGTTATCACAGTGATTAAATTTAACATCCTAAAGTTATAACCCCCTAATGTGAGTTGATATCAGCTTAACTTCAATAGCATACACAATTCTATATACCTCTATCCTCACCTCTTGTCAGTTATTAAAGTTATAAAATTACACCTCTATGCATTGTGTCCAAAAATATAGACTCATAATTGTGTTTTAAGGCATTAATCTCTTAAATCATGCAGAAAACAAAAAGTGTAGTAAACCAAAGTGACAATAACACTAGCTTATATAACTGCCAATTTATTTACCTGTAGAACTTTATTTCTTCCTATAGCAGCAAGTAACTGTCTAGTATCATTTCATTGCACCCTCAAAGACTCCCATTAGTATTTCTTGCAAGGCAAGTCTGGTGGCTGCAAACTTTATGACTTTTTCTTTTTCTGGGAATGTCTTGATTTCTCCCTTACTTTTGAAGGACAGTTTTTGCTAGATATAGAATTCCCGGTTGACAATTTTTTCTTTCAGCATGGAATATACCAACCCATTGTCTTCTGGCTTCCAAAGTTACTGATTAGAAATCTGCTGATAGATTTTAGAGGACCCTCTGTATGTGACAAGTTGCTTCTCTCTTGCTGTTTTCAAGATTCTATGTTGCCTTTGGCTTTCAAGTGTTTGGTTACACTGAATTGTGGTGTGGTTCTCTTTGACACTTTATCCTACTTGGAGTTTGTTGAGCTTCTTATTTGCTTTTTATGTCTTCTGTCTCTTTATTTCTATTTCCATTTTGTCCTAAAATAATCTTCTTGATTTTGTTCATGTCTTCCTTTAGCTAAGAGAATCTTTAAGACATCGGTTTTAAAGTCTTTGTCCAGTAAGTCCCACCATCTGGCCTTTATCAGGGATAGTTTTTAATGATTTATTTTTTTCCTCTGAATGGACTATATTGTCCTGTTTCTTTGTATGCCTCCTGATTTTTTGTGAAAAATTGGATATCTGAATCTTATAATATGACAACTCTATAGAACTCAGACTCCCTAGTATCTACTGGGTTTTAAAATTATTGTAGGCTGTCTGTGCCAGGATTCAGCCTGTGGTGTAAACTTAGGTTTTTCTTGAGTCTTTCTTATGCTTTTCTGATCCTGTGCCTTTCCATGGGCATGCATGGTAACTTTCTAAATCCCCTATACATGCAGTTGTTTTGGATGTTCCATCCTGAAATGTCTGACAAAAAAGGCAAAAGGGGAAAAAATAAAGGGAAAGAAATTTCCCAGGATTTGGTTCTTTAAATCTCCTACTTCAGCCAGTGGGGGTTGTAACAATGTAATGCCCATTTCTGTAACGAGAAGCAGCAATCAGGAATCAGAATACAGATCCTCAGTATTTGAAGGACAAGGTCCTTACTGCCCACCCTGGCCTCTGCAAGCTGTGTGCAAACTGCTTCAGGAACACATGCATGGCTTTCTGCCATGGGGGAGGGGGATGGGTGATGAGTACTGCACTAAGAGCTGAAACTGACTGTTCCAAACTTTCCCTTGGAAGCTGCAAGCATTCAACTAGACTCCAGAGTTCCAAAATAGTTACATCAGACAGATTTTGCCAATAAAATTGTTGCCTATGTGGGGAGACAGATTCCTGGTGCTTCCTACTTCATTATTTTCCCTGATATCACTCTCAGCTTATAAAAGTTTTAAAGCTGAACAAAGGAATGTAGACTCTCCTGTCCTGTAGAACTGTGTGTTGTTCAGGGTGAGCCACTTGGTGAGTGACTTAAATCATAGGTGGAACAGGCTTCAGGTAAGGTAAATCACACCTCCAAGACTAATGCTAGACTCTGCCAGGTACCAACAAGGCAGCCAGAATAAGAAAATGAGTCTATCCTGAGACAGCCAGTGTGGAAATACAGAAAACACTCACCATTACCCTGGCTTTCCGGGACCCTGAGGCCATTTTCCCTGGTATCCCTAAAGAAGGATATCTCAGAAGGCAGATCTGGGTAAGGAAAACAGAAATGAAAGGGTGTCAGGTAGAAATGCTCTCCCCATGAGTGAGGCAGGATCTGCCTCAGTTGGGGGACAGGTGGCATGATGTTACCAGGCTGATTCTCAACTAGGGCCCTGGAAAAAGGTCCAGAAAGCCAGGCCTTCAATAGGTTCAGTTCCAAACTCTCCTGATCACAAGTTAAATGTAAAAGGATATTTTTGAGGCCATTCACTTGGAAGTAGATAATGTTAAATGCAGCATTACGAATTTGAGGGGTTGTGAAAATGGTATTCTGGTTGTTTTTCAAAGATACATATTGAAGTATTTATGAATGGAAATGATTAAAAACATTTCAGAAAAAATGAGATAAAAACATGAAACAAGATTGCAACATGGTGATGACTGTTAAAGTTGGGGCTTTATTATACTATTCTTGCTGCTTTTGAACATGTCTGGAATTCTTCCATTAATAAAAACTATTTTAAAATTCTTAACCAGCAAAAAAACTTAGGCAATATGGCAAAATGTTAAGAAGCGTTAAATCAAGATGATGTATGTAAGGATGGTCATTATGCTGTTTTCTCTTTTATATTTGAGAATTTTCATTAAAAAAGTAAAAAGTATACAGTTTTTTCAATGGATAGCCAGGACAGAAAAACACTGTGTTGAGAACAAAACTAGTGGAATCCAAAGCAATAACCAAGGACAGAAACTGGCAAGAATGAATGATCAATTTTAAATAATAAACTATGACAACTCAGATTAAATAAATAAATATTATGGATACTTCGATGAAGTGATTAGGGAAGAAATGAAATAAAATGGCAAATCATTCATAGGGAAGTCAAAAGACATTTTTCAAGAAATTTATTCTTGTGGTTTAATTTCATTTGATGTAATTATACATGGGATTAACATCTCTGTTAGCATTAGAAAGAATCCAGAGTAGTCTGAAGATTATAAACGAAAAAGTTTAGTTCTCTTTCTGGACTTTGCCCCAGGCCCACATCTGGGTAACTGCTGTTAACTATTTCATTAGTGCTCTTTATCATTTTGTCTCATCATTTTCATTTGTATTTGGGTACATGTGTAAACAATGTTACTTTCCCATAAATAAAAACCATCTGTATTCTGACTTATTTGCATTTAATATCTTGGGGCTATGTGTACACCAGTACTCACAGACCTAACTCCATTGTTTTTATTTAAAAAAAATTTTTTTTAAACTACATTCTTTTTAATAATTGTTAGACTTTGTCCAACAGCAGACCACATTTTCTTTAACAAAGTATTCTTCTGTCAATGGACAGGCTGTCGTATTTATCACCGAAAGGTTATAAGCAATACCTTTTTGCAAACATGTCAGTCTTTCTGTATGAGTGCTAACAGAGCGGAATTACTGGGCTTAATTTTGCACATGTGCTTACACTGCCAAATTGCCCTCCAAAGGCTGACCAACTCACAATGTCAATGACCACATATTAGTGTGCCCCTTTCCACACTTTGATAATACTTGATTCATCCAAGGGATTCTTCAAGTAAGAAGCCTATAGGAAACAAGTTTTACATATGCAAGAGCTTGGGGAATTCTATAGCCTTGAGCTCTTTGTGAGAAGCTCTTCGTGAGGAATCTACTGGAAGATGAATATTAAACATAGTAAGACAGGAAAGGGAAACTAGGTAAAGAACTGATGGTGAGCATCTAATATACATAATTGTAGATCTAGCACTACACAGTGGGTAAGAGAGCAGGAAAGAAAAATATATACTAATGGTATATGGCATGTGTTCTGATAAAGTAGAAATGCCACTAAAATGGGAGGAGAGACAAGGGAAGGGGAAAGTAGAAAAGGTTTACTGAATGTTGCATTAGGTGGGAGTTGGAGGGAAAACACAAATGAAGTCACAGAATTTCTAAAAATAATAATGAAAACCCTGTGGATGTGTGGGATTCATTTAAAACAGTGAGATGAAGGAAATGTACAGTTTTAGATATATTAATAAAGATAAGAACAGAAATTAATGAACAGAAAAAAGTGTAATAAGTGAAATCCTAATTTCTTAAAAATTTAGTGAAATAAACACAGCTATCTTAAGAAAAGAGAAAACATAAATATTGAAAATAAGAAACCACAAAGGGAAAATGCTAGTTTTTTGAACTGTCAATGTATTGGGTTTAAAACAACAACAACAACAACAAAAACCCAACTAATTGTTTTCACTTGCTTTCTACTCCAGAAAGTAGGAAAAAAACAAAAACTGAGAAAAAGAGAAGAAAATGTTTTTTAAAAGAACAAGAAAGAGTAAATTAAAAACCAGTAGCATTAGATTGTGATACTGAGAACAGCTTGTATCAAACTAACCCTTTTACTAATAACTATACACCCTAATCAAAACATAAAGAAAATTGAAGATACCGCGACCAAAAGCAGCGTGAAACCGGAGGGGCTACAACCCTTGAAAGAAGGGATGCATACTGGGTGAGACCTGTATTTAACTCATTTTTCACCTGAGGACACTCCCCAGTTCAAGTGGCACAGGAGGAACAGATCAATAGTCTGTGGCTTCCAGACTTTCTGGAAACAGCATGGCAAAATCCTAGAAAAGTGGGAGCAACTAGGGATGGAGCCTCAAATCTACACACAAGCACCTCCTAAAGTTGGTTGAATACTTTGGCTGAATGCAGAAGGCAAGAAACAAAGAGCTCAAGTGGCTAACAATGGATGGAAGGTGAATGGAGCTGTGCAGGTTTCTGCTATTGTTCACAAGTGAGACTGAGTTTAGAGCTTGAGTCCAATCAAGTCAAAGATTGCTAAATACCTTAGATAAGCTCCTACTGAAACACAGGTCATTTACACAAAACATATATCCTTTCAGCATACCTGGACAGAGGATATTCTAACTTCAAATTACCTGTGAATAAATTACCTATAAAAAAAGCAAAAAATAAAAAAAATCTTTAAAAAAGCATAAAACACGAAACCAGTGAGCTATCTCGTTTACTTTCAACAGTAAGCCATCAGAGAGAAGAGCAGCTCAGGGGGGAAAACTACATGAAAGAGAGAAGAGAGGCATTAACAGCAGATTTAAAGTTGATAGAAGGGGCGCCTGGGTGGCTCAGTCGTTAAGCGTCTGCCTTTGGCTCAGGTCATGATCCCAGGGTCCTGGGATCGAGCCCCGCATCGAGCCCCCGCATTGAGCCCCGCATCGAGCCCCGCATCGAGCCCCACATCGGGTTCCCTGCGCCGCAGAAGCCTGCTTCTCCCTCTCCCACTCCCTCTGCTTGTGTTCCCTCTCTCTGTCTCTCTCTGTCAAATAAATAAAATCTTTAAAAAAAATAAAATAAAATAAATAAAGTTGATAGAAAACAACCATCAGAAAAGAAAAATTACCATGCATGAGAAAATGCTGAAAATGGGTACTGATAGGTCAGAATACTTACTACAGGGACGGGACTTAAAAGCGTAGGCAGAATGAACACATGATGTCTTGGAAAGGGGAAGCTCCAAGGGAAAAGGGGATTACAAGCAAGAAAAAGGCACCTCTTGGAAACTCCAAGGTAAAGAGAAAAATAAGCAAGGGGGAAATACAGGGTCCTGCAAAAGAGAAGAGAATTAAAAAAAGAAGAACACACAATCTCTCCTCCTGCTGCAATCCAGCAAAGAAATCATACTAGTTACACTAACAGAAGAGTTTCCCTTCAAAAACACAAGAATCTGACAGTTGTTTACAGAAATGCAGATGTGCAGTCCTCCTCTATAGAAAACCAAAACAGAAAATGAGAATCCAAAGTTCAGCTAAAAAAAATTCTACCAAAGAAAAAGAAAAAGGAAAGGAAAGAAAAAAAACAGTGACAGAGAAAAAGAATAACAAAACACTACAAGCTGAATTCAATATCCTCAAACATTTGGGCATAAGAGAAATCATCTTGAATCAAAAATTCAAATTTGTAACTATGTTGAGGAAATAGTCTTAAATTTATTGTTATAATCATTTCCCAACATATACATGTATCAAATCATTATGTTGCACACCTTAAACTAATACAATGTTACATGTCAATTATATTTCAGCAAATCTGGAAACAAAACTCAAAAGCTAAGAACAGAAATGGGCAAGAAAAATAAGTGTTGACTGAAGTTCAGAGAGAAACGAAATTAAGTTACAAGACAGCAAAGTATAGATTGAAATGAAAACAGGATGGGCGTTCAAGTGTAGCAGGAAAACCACTTGAGAGAATAAAAATGAAACAAAAGACGGGCTAGAGAGAAAGTGGTTGAAATGGAAATCAGACAATAAAGGGAATATCACCCATATAATTGTAGTTCCTGAAGAAAACAAACAAACAAACAAAAGGAAACAATATTTAAAACTACAGTCCAGGGGCGCCTGGGTGGCTCAGTTGGTTAGGCGACTGCCTTCGGCTCAGGTCATGATCCTGGAGTCCCAGGATCGAGTCCCGCATCAGGCTCCCTGCTCAGCAGGGAGTCTGCTTCTCCCTCTGACCCTCCCCCCTCTCATGCTCTCTCTCTATCTCATTCTCTCTCTCAAATAAATAAAAATAAAAAAATAAAAAATAAATAAAAAATAAAACTACAGTCCAAGAAAACTTCAAGAATAGAATCTAAATATGAAAGGACCTACAGAGTACCAGGGAAGTTTACTCACAACTACCCACTTTAAGATATCTACTAGAAAAGCTATCAGGCCTTTAAGAACAAGAATCCTAAGGGATCTTAGGCAAAAAATATACCAGACTTTCATCAGAATTATCAAAATCATCATTCAACCATCTTGCACTGCTCAGAATATAAAATGGTGCAGCCACAATGGAGAACAGTATAGTGGTTGCTCAAAAAATTAAAAATAGAATTATTATATAATCTACCAATCCCACTTCTGGGGATATCCCAAAAGACTTGAAAGCAGGAACTGGAACAGATATTTGTACACTTTTGTTTATAGCCATATTCATAATAGCTAAAACATGGAAACAACCCAACGTCCAT